TCATTAGAACAAGCGGCTCTAAGCTGCTTCCTTTGCCCAGAAACGTTTGACTCCACTTTTAATTTGCGGTCTACTGACTCCGCTCTTCTCCTTTAGTCTCGCTGCTTCGTCTCTGAGAGTTTTCTCGGCTCACAGGGTTTTGAAATTTCGACTTTCTTTGAGATGCTGGCTGCAGCCAAAGCGCCATCTGCTCCGGCAAAACTTTAAGCGACGTCGTTGCCAAATGTTGCGGCGCCGCAGTTCGTCTCTGCTTCGTTTCCCGCGCAGCGAACAAACGCCAACACGGCGCGGCGGCGTCGCGCGACAGCCATTTCAGCGCCATTCGGTTTGTTTGGTGATGAGCTTTTAATTAGCCTTTGGAGCGGCCTGGACGCTCGCCTGCTCATTTAGCCAGAAACAAATGTTTTTCTGTGGCGGTTTGAACACAGAATCAGAGGGAAGCGGGGAGCGTCTCCTGAGACGGGTTTATTTTTACAAGAAAGTTCTGAGCAGCGCGTGTTTGAGTCCAGGTTTCATCCCAGAGAATCACTGCGACACGGAGCCAGTGTTTGTCTTGATGAGGGCTCAGAACTGAACGTTGATGTGCTGCAAGAGTTTCTGCTTTTTTAAAAATCAGGGACAGTTGATCCAGAATCACCTGAAACAAACCTGCAGGTGACTGAAAGTACAGACCAGGATGAGATTATAATAATAAAATAAAACTACGAGCAAAACACAACAAATGATGTTTTACAGAATGAAATCATCAGACATTACCTCCAAAAATATGGTTTTTTTATTACAAAGCAATTAAACGTACATTTTACACAAACTGTTAATGTATAAGAAGAGTAATCACACCGCAGTAGTGGCACAGTGCTGAATAATACAACATGAATTTAACCTGAAAACAACAAAAAATACAATAAAAAAAATGGAGAAACCAGTACAAAAAAAATAGAAATTAAAAAAAAAAATTAACAACAAAAATCTATAAAATTGGACACAGCAAATAAAAAATATAAAGAAAAACAGAGCTGTTAAAAAAAGCAATCAAAAGGGAAAATATTGCTTTGAATACAAGAATATTCTGCACTAAATACCTGCAAAACTACATCTTCTGTATGAATGTAAATATCTGTCATTCACCCTGATGATTGATTCCTGCCTTAAATATTTTAAAAACAGGATGACGTTTTTCCTCTATGTGTGTTTTTAATTGACACAAATCTGCTCACTGCGAGTCCTGAAGGTGACCTGATGTGAATTTAAAGCATCAGTCAAACTCTAGAAACGAGCGACAGTTAATCCTCTGAATGTGAACGACGTAAATCCACGACGTGAGTCAAACGTTCTGAGCAGAAGCAGCTCCGTGTCGTCTGATCAGAAAGCATAAATAAGTTGATGTTGAGTCTCCGGTTCTGCAGGTGTGTCACCTGGGGGGCATCCAGCACCTGGTGGACCTGCTGGACCACAAGGTGGCCGAGGTCCAGAAGAGCGCCTGCGGGGCCCTGAGGAACCTGGTGTACGGGAAGGCCACCGACAACAACAAGGTGGCGCTGAGGAACTGCGGCGGCGTCCCGGCTCTGCTGCGCCTCCTCAGGAAGACGACCGACAACGAAGTCCGCGAGCTGGTCACCGGTACGTCCATGAGGCCGTCGGTAGAGAGTTCATGTGTCTTTGACGAACAGTAAACTTTATCCAGCATCATTTAAATGTCAAATACTTCAAATTTTCTCTCATGTGAAACTAAAAACTAACAGCTTAGATTCATTATATTGAAAATACAGATACTACAGTAGGAACTAAAGGCAACAACAGTCAGGACGTCTTTCAGTCTTTGAGTTTTCCAGCTTCCTTTTTGACGACAGATTCTTCTGACCGACTGTGTTGCTCCACCTTTGTCTTTGAATTGCACTGAAGGGGTTTTATTGGATTTAGAAGCACAGTTTTTAGCTTCATGTTCAAACCTCTGCTCTTCACTGTCAGGACGATGCGCTCACGCTACACAAGCTGATCATCATCTCAATTTGAGACGTTGTGCTGCTTCTCTTTAAAATCCACCAAATGTGTTGTTTTGGAGTCGAGTCAGGCGACACACTCGTCCAGGTTTGTTCTTTTGTGAGACTCTTTTTTTTCAAGCTCCTGCAGACTCTGAGTGTCAGACAGTGTTTAGGTTTATCTGCAGGCGTTCATGGTTTCTCTAAATGTCACATCATTACCACCGCTGTCGGGACTGTGGGTTCAAGGTGGCAGCCAAACATCTGAGGTAAAAGGGGGCACGGTACAAGTGTCCAAGTGGTAGAAGAAGGAGGGCACTTCAACAAGAGGTGACAGAAGATGGAGAATATCTCACTGCCTAAAGAGGTCAGAGTCGCAGGATGCTTCAGTATCGATTGATTTTCTTTCAAACTGGCGAAAATAGCTTTAACAATCCCTCCAGATGTCCCAGATTGCACCTGAATTCATTCACTTGGACCGTTTCCAAGCCGCCCACCACATTTTTCCCACGTCCCACTCACACAAGAATCAAGAACGGAGCCTCAGAGTTCCATGTTTGTCTGCTCAGGTCGGCCTTCTTCCTCTCTAACGGGGTGATTTCAGGTAAAAGCAGCATCCACATCGACACAAAAAAAAAAACAGTCTCCAAATGCAAACATGACACATTAAAATCCCGCTGGGACGCGAGTGGGTGTTCGCCTGCTAGCAGGGTCCGTTGGCCGCCTCTCCGGCTGGTCAGTCTGTGCTGCCGTCTGACTGGCTGGCAGCGCATTAATCTGCGTATCGGCTGTTCTGTGGGAGGTGAGAGCGGCAGCGGCTTAAACACTCGGCGCTCGGTGTTGACAGAGCAGATCTCGGCACAGTCCTCGGGACAGATGCTCAGATAATGTGCTTTGGAAACAGGATGCCGCCGACGGCTCTGCAGCCACGCCGCACATACTGTTCAACGCCGGCAGATATGGAGCTGCGAGACGCTCCGAGGTTCTGCAGAGAAACCCACAGAGAGGCCTGGATGTGTTGGAACGCTCCAGAGGGGTTCTGTGTCTAAAGCCCAGCGCTGGAGTTTGATCATTATACCTTCTTTGTGTGTCTTGTCACCTGCAATTTTGATTCCCTTCATGAGTCGCACTCCCTGACAGTCACCTGCAATGTCTTTACACCGGTTTCACAGATAAAAGCATCTCGGAGCAGCAGCCAGCGCCTCTCTGCCAAAGTTTTCCCATCATTACATAACACTCTTTTACACTTTGTGATTAAAACTAATGACGTAATCGTTCGTTTACATAAATTTCGCAGCGAGTGTTCTTTTCTAACGGCACTGTCGGTTATGGATGCAGTTGTTTCCCAAAGCTAAAGGCTCCGCGGGAAGAAGGAATTAGTGAAAAGTTAATCGAGGATGCCATCATTAGAATATAGTTGATGAAGTCTAATAGAAGTCTGATTTTGTTACTCCCATGTGTCAAACGACATCCTGCAGGTTCTCTCAGAGCTAAAAGCAGGATTATA